AGCTGTTGAACTATCATTCACTCGTAGTTCACTCACAGTTGAGCACGTCCCAGTGTCCATTCCACTTAAAAACTTTAAAATAAGTTAAAAAATCATTGAATAAACAATGTCCCTGTCATCGATCTTTCATTCTAACTGGTGGGAAGAGTTGGATCATCCCCACAGCCTGGTGGATCAATATTTCGGTGATGGAATTCACCACGACGTCCTGCACGAGGCCCATCGCCACCCCAGGTCCCATGCACCACTTCAGCATGTCCGAGGACTAGGAAGATGCCCCATGGTATACCAGAGACCCTGGGCAGTGGCACGTCCACAGGGTGTGTCCACTGTAAAGCCACATAAGGACAGCTTCCACGTTTCTCTCGATGTCCAGCAGTTCGCCCCGGAGGAGATCTCCGTGAAACTCCTGGATGGATCTGTCATCGTCGAGGGGAAACACGATGACAAGAAGGACGAGCACGGATGGGTCTCCAGACAGTTCTGCAGGAGGTATCAGATTCCGGAGCAGTGCGACATCGAACAGGTCCAATCGACTTTATCTTCTGATGGAGTTCTCTCCATCATTGTTCCACGTAAAGTTGAAAATAAGGTGGAGGGTGAAAAAACTATTCCCATTATTCACACTGGAAAACCCGCAATTGTCGACACTCCGAAATCCAAGAAAGAGAGCCTACCCGAGAATTCACATTAAATACGGTATTTAAGGACCTCCAAGTACTTTCCCTAATTTTTTTCTTCCATTGATTAGTCTATTTAAACGATGAAGCGATGTTTTATTTCATTTATAACCATTAGAAACTCATAATTCATTCTGCGAAATTAAATGTGTGTCAGTGAAAATGAAGAGAATCGGAAGAAAAAGAGGAGAAAAAGAAATAGAGAAATAGGAATAAACGAAATGTATTATTCGTGAAAAATTAGCAATAACAGCATTTCTGATTTTTTTTTTAATAAACAGATTTGATAATTGAAAAGTGTAGAAGGTACTTGGATATATTTAATCCTCGGTTCTCGATGAGAAAATTGTGGAACTATTCCAGTAATCATTGAGAATTATTAATGTTTTTCGAGTAACATTCCAGTATTTTAATCGTAACCCAGATACTGCCTGTTAGTGATTATCAACAAGTGAGTTATTTAGTTTAGTGTGGAAGTATTGTAATTCACTCGCACTATTCGCACAACATAATGGTTTGAGGGACGTAATTACTTGTACTTGGTAAGGGACTCATGAAAATCATTACACCACGGAGAGATGTTCTTTCTTAAAATTGTAATTCCAAATGGAGGAACATTTTACGAAAAGTCTCTGTACCTTTACCGTCACAATGTTCTCAAAGAATTTTCGTCCATCTAATTCCTGCACTCATTTCAAAATATTAATTGAATAATCAATAATTCGCCTACGCACCGTAAAGATAATAAATAGTCAATTGAAACTCGAATTTGTGTTTTGATTATTTCCGAATTTCAAAATTATCCTTTCATCTTGAAATCCTGAAAATAAAAACAGTTTTCCTAATTTTTTTTATAAATCTTCGTTGCTGTTTATGGTTTGTTAATCATCGAAATTAATGGATAATCATCGATGCAATAGACAAAAGAAAATAATGAGGAGATTATAACTTTAGCCTGCGCATCTGCGAAGATCGATCCAGACAGGTTTCTCTCGTCCCATCATTTCATTCGCAGAGAGTTCATAATCTCAGGGGTTATTGAAGGTCAAATCAACAAGCAATTGTTCCCTCTGGTACAATAGCAGGACATTATTGCGTTCACGAATGATTCCAGCACGAGTTGGAGCTGAAAATATCGACAAGTCTCTAATTTTTGGATGGCAAAAAGCGAGATTCATATTTGTTTTGTTGTTTCATTATTATCTCCAGTGAATTCGCAGATATTAAAAAAAAAATAATAAATTACAAGCACTACCCAGACGATATTCCCCGTACAGTGCCGATACGTGTCTCATTTCAACTGGCGATATAAATAAAATTCATTCCCCTGAAATCGATCGATATCAACGGAAAGAAAAAACATGAATTTTTTCGGAGCAATGGTCTTCGCAATAATGTCTGAATTAATTAATATAGAATTTGAAGAATTCCATATGCTTCTAGAAAATTTTCTATTTTTTAAATGAAATTCTAGAATTTTCCAGAAAGTTCCAGAAATTTCTCGAATTTTCTACAAAAAATCGGCGGCCTTTTTCACAAACTTAGGATTATCCGGATTCTATGAAATTTCAGATATTTCTACAGTTTTCTAGACAATTCTGGGTGATTCAGGTGCAGCTACCGGTTTTTTAAATTGAGTATTCAGCAGTACCGATCGGTTTAGCCTGAAATTCTACCATCGGACTGTAAGAGGTTCAAGACTGACGAAAATAGAATCGAGGAGAATAATGAAATAAAACAAAATAAATTGGATAACAGAGGATTCACTCCGCAATTTAGCTGGTGTAACGATCTCGACATCACAAGTGGCTCCACTCAATATTTTGGCTGTGACCTTGATGTATTTCAGTAGAGAGAACATTATCTAAAATACAAGAGACAACGTAATCAATATTTCCATTCCGGTGGATTACTAAAAATGAAAATAATTGCATTTATCTAAGCACATATGTGACTGATAAATTAAAAAACCGGATGATATTATATTAATTAATTGGAATTGCCTCGACTGGATTGAAAAAAATAAAAAATGATATTTAATTATTAAGTTTTTGACGAAAATTTTCTTCGTTACAAATAAATTCGATGAACATTCCTCCAATGAATTGGTTTGAGTAGCTGAACACGGCAGAGTGTTCACGAACTTTCTACGCCTCTCGTATTGAATTACGCACTATATATGTACTCTAACCGGTGATAATGTTGGTGAAAAGAAAAAAATATATGGGGCTCATCCTCATTGTACTCATGTGGAACCATCTGGCAGTATCTCGAACGTTGGCGACAGAAAAAAAATCAAAAAATACAAATTGTCAACAAGAAAAATCACCACAACTCTCAAAATAATTCCTCCGCAATCTCCCTCAATGAATAACAACCTGATAAAAATCTTTAATCCACTGATAAACTCCGAAATAATGAAAAAAAAAAAGAAGTTGCTAGAAAATTCCAGACACTTGGCAACCATGGTGTGTACGCAGATCGATATCTTTGTATTCGCCTTGGAATTTTCCAGGCACCCTCAAATGGTCAACAAAAGATTAAAACAAATACCTTTAACAAATAAGTGAGTCCCGAAGGCCTGCAAAAAAAAAAATCCAAACCATCTCTGCTTGCACGAATGTTCGAGTTCCCCTGAACATTTCAACCGTTCGTGGATGTTTCGAGCAATTCTCTGAAAATCCCCTAAAATGTGAGAGAATGCTGAAATAAAATCCTTGAAAAGTGTCAGATTTAAATGGAATGATCACTTGAATCGAAGAAAAGTACACGTAGGTTAGGCCAACAGCAAAAAATCGACAGTTGATTCTCGAAAATTCTCGAAGCCGGCCGGCGAGTATAAATAGAGGGCCCTCGCCAGCTGAGACATCAGTCTACTCGAGTCATTTAAGCAGTGCACATCGCGTAAGCGAATATCAACGTAATCAAAACAATTTGAAACGTTTGAATTGAGATCAAGAGAATTTTCAAGATGAGTCTTGTGCCATTGTTATTCTCAAACTGGTGGGAGGACCTGGATCGTCCCCACAGGCTGGTGGATCAGGACTTTGGCCTGGGGCTGGAGCCAGAGCAACTGATGACACCTCAGATGCTGCAGCGCTATTTAATCCCACGGGAGATGATCAGACCCAGATCTTCCGTCTCCTACTACAGACCCTGGGCTGAACTCTTGCGCAAACCAGAAACTGGCACCTCAACTGTCAACGCAGATAAGAATAAATTCCAGGTGATCCTTGACGTTCAGCAGTTCAAGCCCGAGGAAATCAATGTCAAGGTTGTCGACAAGTGCGTCGTCGTCGAGGCTAAGCACGAGGAGAAGCAGGACGAGCATGGCTGGATATCACGTCAATTTGTACGCAAATACATGATCCCTGAGCAATGTGAGATTGAACAGGTGTCATCCAGTCTCTCCTCGGATGGTGTCCTCACCATCACTGCACCTAGAAAGGAGGTACCCAAGATTGAAGGCGAAAAGGTCATTAAGATCGAGCACACTGGAAAGCCTGCCATTCGTGACACCACAACTGCCAAGAAGGAGAGCAAGGAAGAGAAGTGTGTGAAGAAATAAAAAACTTTTGTTCACATTTTTTTTTTACTTTTTCATGTATCGTCAATTTTTTGATAGAATGGAGTTTCTCGACGATCGTGCTGTCATTTGTCAAATTATTCGCTTTATGTATCATCTAGTTTGTATCAAATCATTACCAGTTTAATGAGCTTTATGATATTCTGTATTTTTTTATTGTCCTGGTGATCAAATAAAACCAAAAAGCAGAAATTATAGTGAAATCCGCATTTTTATTTATTATAGATTATGATTATCCGCTTTTCCGAACTTCTTAATCTGGAAAATATATTCTATTTTTGTTCACGAAGTATTGAATTGAAAAAATTTAATTGATTATCCATCAATAAAATTTCTTTTATGCCTATTTATGCTATTTATTAATGAAATAATAACTTGGCTGTAAAATGGCTGTAAAATTCAGTAGTTTCAGTTTACGATTTATTCCCAATTTATACAAATCTTTTTACAATCAAAAAATATAGCAGGGATGAATGTTCATCTGAGTGCAACTCAAATGATTTTAATACAACATTTCACCTTTCAATCAATTAGGCTTCAAAATAACTCTTACATAATCTGAATAAACTATCGAGTTAGTATGTCTGATAAAAGAAACAAAACAACAATGAATACCATTAGTATTTACAAGATAAATTGTAGCAAAAATATGAATTCACTAATATCAGCTGTCCTTGAGAACTTCCTTGAGAATGGAGCCAGTGTTTCTCGATGGTCTGAAGTCTTGGAATGAGGGAAGATTGACGTTGGTAAGCAGTAGTCCAGAGTGTGACGAGGAAGTCGAGTGTTGTCTACTGTGTCCAGGCCTGGAAATGGACGTGCTGGACACTGGTAGAGCTGGAACTGAAGTCGGTTTGGACTCACTTTCGAGAAATCTGATGAATGCTTGAGACAGTGAGGCTTCTTGGTCTTTCGTTGGTGTTCCTGAGGTGGATAATAATCCTGAGAACCACCCACCGTGTCCAGTCGGAAGATTCAGACCTGCTTTCTCACGTTCGTGCTCATCGAAGTCAAGAATTGTACCAAAAACTCGTAAAACCGCGGATTTGTCAGAGGCTGGGGACGACAGAAAGCCGAGGAGAAGATTTTTTATCAGGAATCTGGAGATTAAAGTAAAAAACAAAGTGTTATTGTCTGAACCCCTCCTCTCCTCATTGATTGGTGATTATTTTCGATAATTACTTGTCTACTTTGCCCTCTCCACTCTTCTTCGCCTCCTCAATCCTCTCATCGGCAGTGCCAATTAAATCCGTCAATTTAGCGACTGTAAAAATAATTAAAGCCAGATTAATTGCGACGAACAGCACCAACTCGTTTCAGTATTTTAACCTAAGGCTTGATTAACTGATGCATTCAATAGAATAAATATGTGAATGAAAATAAATAGAATGAAAATAAATATGGTGAAGGCCCTCGGGCGATGGCCAATCACAAGTTGCTTGTGACAAATTCCGTTTAAAAAAATAATAAATATATAAATTGAGGTGATACCTATGAAAAGTTGCATTAACAAGTGCAATCGGATTAAAATGCTGCATCCAAAAGTTGTGGATCGACAACGATGTTTAGGGAAGACATGAGCGAAAGTATAACACAAGCACTGGTTGATAATAAAAATACACCAGTACCTGATGTAATACTCACACCCGTGTCCAAATTTTTTGGCTCTTTCATGCTGCATTCCCTTTTCTTATCAGCTCATAACTTTACCATGCTCATTATCATGCTCATCAACATGGTAAAAAACATTTCTCATCTCTACGTGGATTTCGAATATTGGGATGATTATTGGAAATTGATAAATCATAATAAGTGTATCGTTTTGCATCTAATGTGAGTGGTTTGTAGGGAAGGGGTAACGGGTGGGAAATCCCACGAAGTAAAATGAGCATTTATACTTAATTACACTCACAGTTACCGCATGAGATTACACACTCTGTCGTTACCAAATTCGTTTCAATCGTTTATGGAGTTATTTGTATGCTTTGGGTCCATTCTGTGCTGTTCCTATTCTGTGTTGATGATGGTTGAGAAAAACGAAAATAATTTTTGCCAAGTGATAGGTCGAAATAAGTCAAATTTTAGTTTTATTCAATTAAACGTGCCTCAATTTTTATTCCACCGATGGCTTTCGAGATAAATCGATAGTTGAGGAATTATTTTTATTTGATTCATGTCACTTCTTCACTTGGCTAGTAATTCGCCTAAGGATATCCAAGTCAATAATTAACCGAAGTGTAAACAATTCAAAACGTCTCGGTATTCATGTTTTTTTTTTTCAAATCTTGTAGCCAATTGAATGCACAGATTTTAGAAATTCGAAAATCTCATAATCTAAGATAGGATATCCCCAAGCATATGGCGAATAAAATAATAGATTGTACGAGACAATAAATAAAACATGAATTGATTTAATTTCAGTTTTACCTAAAAAAAACCGTTTAGATCACTGAATCGATCTGAATAACCCAAAAACCAGGAAGTGCAAAAAAATAACACAAGAATATGCGACAACTTCTCAACAACAGTTGAATTATCATGAATTTTAGTAACTGCTGTTCCAGCGAATAAAAAATTAATAAAATTCATCAAGAGTGAATAATAACCAGCACCAAATGGTAAATGCATGAATATTGATAATGTAACACGTGAAACGAAAAATAAGGAGTAATTGTTTTTAGTGTGCAAAAAGGCGACGGTGCCAGTGCGTAGCCTCATACCAGCCAGAATCCTGGGTCACTCTCAACAGCCCAGAATTACCAGCTGATATTTGACTAAACCACCGATTGTTCAACTCATTCATAAATTAAAAAAAATTGTTGTCATGTGCTTTCGTTGTTGCGTTTTTGCTAAATTGCAGATTATTCACAGGTCGTTCTCATCAAATAATAAATACTTAATCAGTAAGTACATTCACTTATCACTACATACTCATACACTATTGAAACGAATCTACCAAGGGTATACAGAGATTAACGTTAAAGAGCGTTAGATAATTCAATTGCACTGGGAGAAAAATCTGTATTATTCTTGAAAGAATTTATTGATATATCAATACTCCTGATTATTGTAGAATTTATCTACGATTGTGTACATATTTTTTTTATTCAGATAGAAATTATTTTTGTGGAAAAATAATTTACCTGAATTTACAGGGACAATTTTGCTCTCAGTGCAGCGATTCAAACACAAAAGAAATTTCAAAGGGTTAACAAGAGGGAAAAGCATGCAGTCTTGATGTCTGATTGCAGTTGTCAAGGTAATAATTTTATAATGATGACAGAATGAAACATTCATGATTAATTACTGAGTGAGATGAGATACTCTGGCATGCATGAGTTTAAAGAGAAAAAAACAAAAATCGAGAGAATGGTTGAGTGAATAATTTGATTAATTAATTGTAAATACCTTCTTGACTGAGTTCTTGAATTTTGTCACTCTTCCTGTCCAGGTTTTCGCTCAGTCGGGATGCCGCCTGCAGGCATTCTTTAGCCTCCGCCAATTGACCCTATTGAGCATCGAATAATTATCATCTCAAGAATAATTGAAATAATCTCACTCGGTCACTCAATGAATCCAGAAAATATCGAATTACCTTCAACGAGGATATTTCTGCGTTCAATTCTTCCTGTTTCTTGTGTGAACCGTTCAACTGCTGGCGAATTCTTTCAGTTGCATGGCGAATATCATTTTCCTTATCTAGAACATTGCAAAACTATGTTAATTATTTTCCTTGTTGGAGGAAAGGACGGGAATATAATCAGGATAGAAGTAGTAAAACGTGGCAGAACGAGGTAATTTTTTATTACGTGTAACAAATTTCTGGGTAGATTCCAGTAAATCGAGAGTCTTTGAAGAATTTTTCAAGAAGAATTGATGAGGATTATGGAAGAAAAAAATATTCAAGATTATTTCCCTTACCTCTTTGAAATTGTTCAAGCACGATCTGCAGATTTGTCAACGATGCGGTGTGCGCAGCAACTTTGTCTTCAGCAGCAGACAATTTTGCCTGAATATCATCCCTCTGCTGGATAATCAGTGTCATCTGTTGCTGGAGAGTCTCCACTTGTTGATTAGCCCTGATGCTCGCTGAGGTATAAACAGTGGAGCTATTCTTGACCTTCTCCTCAGCCTCTCTGAGTTTTCCCTCGAGTTCCTTCTTGCTTTGCTCAGTGAGAAGTGCCTCCTCGGTATAACTGGCCTCTACCTCCATCAGATGAGTCCTGAGCCTCTCAAGCTCTCTAGCAGCACTCACCTCCCTCCCCTGACTCTCAGCCAATTGATTTTCCAGAATTCTATTGCTCGTCTGCTCTTTTACAAGAGCAGCCTCCAAAGCATTACATTTTTCGCTCATAATCCCAGCCTGAGATATGTGACTCGCATGCTCAGGAATGTTACAGGTCTCTCCATAGTTATTGGACTCCTCGAAGTTTTTCAATTTCTGGCGTACAACCTGGAGCTCGTTCTGAGCCCAAAGCACCTCAGTCTCCTTCTCCTTGAGAGCAGCACCCAAGGTATCACGCTCTGACGTCAACACCTGAAAATTCGACACTTGTTCATTAAACAATTGGGTCATCCTCTGGATCTCTGCGTGATACTGCAGACTCTCATTGTGCTTCATCTGCACGAGTTTCACCAGCTCATCCCTCTCGGACTTCAACGAGGAGAAGGCACTCTCCTTCTCCCCGAGCTTTTCCTCCAGCTCTTGCTCTTTCTGTTGAATAATTTGCGATAAATTTTCAATCGTCTCCTTCGCCATTGATGCCGAGTCCCGCGACTTGCTCTTCAACGTTTCCAATTCACTTCTCACCAACTCCAAGTGCGAAGATTTCTCATCCAATGCCAACCTGATGGCCTCAGAGTCCCCTAAACCCTCCACATTCTTCGCCAGTTCCGTTTTCCAAATCCCAATCTCCTTTTCCTGCTCCTCCAATTTTCCCCTGTACTCCTGCATTTTCTCCTCTACTCCACTCAACTCTTGGAGTCGACAAGATAAAGTCCTGACCCTCTCTGTCAGCTCTTCATTCTGCAGCTGCGAATGGGCGAGTTCGGTGTGCATCTCTTCACACCTACCCTCGGACACTTTCAACTCTCCCTCAATGATCAGAAGTCGAGAGATCTCCCTCTCCAAACCTTCAACCTTGTCAGCTCGATTTCGTAAATCATCACAATCGCGCTTCAGCACTTGACACTCTGTTCTAGCCTGTGCGATAGCCTTCTCCATATCAACATTTTTAGCCTCGAGATCATGAATCCTTAACCCCATCTCCTTGAGCTCAGACTTCTCAGCAGTAGCCTCCTCCTGGAGGAATATGTGCTCCTGCTGAAGTTCATTCATCTCAGTATGCAAGAGTTCGATCCTCTCCTCAGCCTCCTTATTACTTCTCCCCACCTGCTCGAGAATCTTCTCATGCTCTCCTACGAGTCTCGCATTCTCCTCCTGGAGTTTCTGGCACCTGATCTCACCATCTGTCACCTGACTCAGAGCTAGATCCAACTCCTTCCTCATATTCAGCAAATCATACTCCAAATCATCTCTCTCACGATTCACAGCCTCGAGCTGGCTCCTGAGTTCCCCCATCACTTCAGAATCATCCTCATGTCCCCTATTCTCCTGGATCCCAACTAACTCGGCCTCCAGGTGCTCCTTCTCCCTCTCAATCTTCCTCCTCTCCTCAGCAACACTTGCCAACTCGTTCTCCAGCTTCTTCGTATTATCAAACGAATTCTTCAGCTCCTTCCTCACATTTCCAATATCCAGTTTCAACTCCTCGATCAAATCAATATTATCATCCAAACCCTTGCACTTCTCTGAGTACATGTTCACCTGCTCCTGCATCTGCTTCTCCCTGGCCTCAAGAGCATCAATTCTCTTTCGCAATTCATTGTTCTCCTCGAGAGAGCTGTGAAGACGTCGACTGAGATCCTCCATCATATTCTCATTGTTCTCGACATTCTTGGAAGCCCCTGCCAGCTGTTGCTGGGCTATCTCCAACTGCTGCTTGGTGTTTCTCACCTCAGCCTCCAGATTCTCCTGATTCCTGAGTGATCCCTCCAACGTCGTCAACGTTGTTATCAAATCCGTTTGCTTCTGATGCATTAGATCATTCTCCAACTGCAATCTTTTTATCTCCTCACTCATGGACTCTGTCTCTGTCTCCAGAGATGCAACTCTTTCCTCACTGGCTTCTGGGATAGATGGTAGATTTGACTTCATGTGACGAATTTTCGATTCCAAAGCATCTACTGTCGTTTGCATGTCCTCGCAATCGATCTGCAGGGCATCCCTCATTTCACAGACCTCATTTAACTCTCGAGTCCGATCAGAAATTCTTCGTTCCAGCATTTCCTTCTTTCGCTGGGACTGCAGAAATTCATCTGCAAGGACCTCGAAGAGATTTTTGTCCTCTGGGATATTTAGAGTTGTATCTTTGAGAATTTCTTGGACCTTTTCCGTGATTTTTTGGAGCTCCTGAGACCCTGAGAGGTCCTCTCCTGTCTGGATCAACTTCTCTTGGGTGTGGGATTGTCGGTCCTGGAGTAGAGACTTCGTCTGGATCTGCTTATCCTCGAGGGGAGGACTCTTGGAGTTTTCCAAGGGCATTTTAGTCATTTGGTCCTGGAGATTGTTGTAGTCCACGTAGAGGGTCTCGTAGGCGGTCTGGAGGCACTGGTGCTTCTTGTGGAGCTCCTCCTTCAGATCCAGCACCTTCTCCATAGATTGAGCGTGCTGCTGGTCCAACTCCTCGATACTGGAGGACAGGCTTTCATTCTCCTCTTGGAGTTTTTTAATTTTTCTCCGGAGTTCTAGCTCTCGGTTATTCACACCGTTGGACGTCTGCTCTGGACGGACTTTCTTCCCAATATCTGATTTTTCCTCATTTCCTGTCGCACCATTGTCCATCTCCAAGGCACTCAAGGTACATCGGATTAAATTCACCTGCTCATGGGAGTCCAGCTTCGAGATGGCAGCCCTGAAGTCATTGATAAACGCTAATTCGTCGGTCTGAATCTTCTTCATCGTTCTCTCCGCTTCTTTCCCCTTCTCACCAATTTGAATTATTCGATTCACCAGATCCTGCTTCACACGAACAGATTCACCTCTCTGTTGGTTCTCTGATATCTCCTCTTTCATTTCAACTGAACTAATCTTCTGATATTTCTTAACTTCTTCCTCCAACTCTTTAATTCTCACGGTGGCTTGTGCGATCTGCTCCTCAAGGCCTCGAACATGATTCGACTCACGATTTCTACTGGACGGTGGATCCCAGAAAAATCCTCCACCCTCGTCATCCTGACTGTCATCATTCTGAAATTCGTAGGGTAGAAATTACTCGTCATCTCAGTTTTATTTATTTTGTTATTCAATTTTATTGAAATATTTTTTATTCACGTCAAGTGAGAATGAAAAAATGAGAAACTTTAATGAATTCGATGTGTCGGGGAAACAGTGATAGTATTGTTGGTGGCCTCTTTGCATAAGAATCTCGTGTCGTGAACACAATGCGGCTAAAAACCTCTCTATCCGGCATTCGTGTTCATCCAATACAGCACGGAAACGGAAGATAAGAGGGAAAGAGAGCTGCTGAAAGAGCCAAACTTGCGTAATAAAAAAAATGATTTTTCGAGTGAAGATTCCGGTGGAAAAATCGAAAACCGCAGGGAACACTCGACCTCTCCCTCCAATGGATTTCAATTGTGGCATTTTTCAAGAAAATGCTAGCCCCCCTCTTCCAAGTGTGCGATATTCCAATCAAATTCAGTTAATGATTTAATAATTAGCAGTTTCGGAGAAAAAACTGAAATTTTATTCTCTGAAGAATAAAACAATAATCAACAATAACAATATTCTATTCTGCTCACGAATTTTTGGGATCCCACAGAAAAATATATTTCTCTATACTAAATTATCATTGCCATTCTCGTTATTTATAAGGGTAATTTATATATAATTATAATCATGGACGTTGCAAACGTGACGGAGCCGTCGATGGATTTAAAAAAAAAAATTTCCTCCCCGAAAGATTTTACACCAGGTCCCAGGGGTAGTGACGAAATTTCTTTCTTCTTTCATTTTTTCATTTTTTCATTTTTTTTGTCTGCCTTTGAGAGTCTCACCATCATCTACATGACAAATATATGTTAAATCACTGATTGGTTGCGTGAAACATTCGACTTTTATAAATGATGCCGACCTCCCTGGCTGCTCAAAATATCAAAACCCTGAGAATTTCCTATTCCCCACGAACCTGAAGACCTTCAAATTAATTTACGTATTCATAGTCTGCTGCATAATGCATGTGAATCCCCGAAAAATTCCTGAACGACAATTGATAAATATCGATACGTTGATGGATATCGATTTTCCCCGACAAAAAATTTTGAAATGCAAATGCTCCAAATGCTGTCATTGATTGACTGATTTTTACTCGAATTTTTATTGTCCGATGCAGGATTTTCATGCAGACGAGTTCTCCCGCGTCGTGGACTCTTTTTTTTTTTGAGTCTTGCCCCCTCGGAGTTGCTGGTCCACAAGGTATACAATAACGGGCTGGGGACCCGATGCTAATGAATATGAAAGGGGGTTTCGTTGGGTCAGGTCAAGGAATAATGGCTCGTTTGACTTTCATGCCTTGCACTGTTATAGTAAACGACAAAAGAATCAACACCGTACCATTGATCGGCCCCTTCAAGACACAGCTATACAATTCTTTGGTGCACCACAAAAAATATTTCTCTTATTTATTTCTACCAACAATCTAGAAGGAAATTCTCCCATTGTGAGTGGATATTCGAAAGTTTTCGAATGAAAAGACCGAGTAAACAAGAAATTCTCAAGAATTTGGAAATATGCTCTCAATTGATTCATTGATTCATTCCTAAAGAAATTATTCAAATGGTAAATTTAAAAAATTCTTGTCAGCTGTACGACAGAGAGATCGAACTTCCGGTGGTATCATTTCATTAATGAAATAATTGATTGAAAATTTTTGAATTAAAGCAAAATTACGAGTGCTTATAGAATATAAATTGGGTAAAATTTAGTTTTCATTATAAATTCCCGAGATATCTACAGCAAATATTATGTGAAAATTCCTATGAGCGTTTATAATGGTGAAGAGAATAGTATTTATTTCATTCGAAATGGCCTTACAGTTGAATATCCACCTGTGGCAACTCGAATCCACTCATTCCACTCTATCAAATGACTTTGAATCCTCACGTGCCACCAACACCACCAACAGGTAATAAGCGAACGATAGCAAAACGTGAGAAAAAAAGTTGTGCTATATCCGCCGAATGGATAATAATGTTCACCGCGTATTTCACTCACCTTATTTTATTATCTACAGAGGACTGGAAAAAAAATTCAAGAAAAAAAAAAATAAAGACCTGACAAAGTGTCCATGTCGTCGCTGATAAGTAAATAGACCTCGGTGCGCATCAATTTGTTAATATTTTTTTTCCCCATTGAGCTAAAAAAAACATCAACAATTCCACACAGCGATGAATAAAAAACCCATCGACTGCTATTTCTCCCCGGTTATTATAAATATTTAACTTGACATATCGCTCAACTGCAGATGTTATTTTATGCTCGTACTGTGAGCAACTAATGAAAAAGGGGTGAATATACGGGAGATGAATAGAGCAATGAGCATTTCTGCTAGGTATTAATAGCGGATTGTTATCAGTTCGTGGGGGGGGAATTAATTCCTTAGGCTTATCGCCTCCTTGCCTCTCCCTGGTTCATCTGATTCTCAATATCTCAATTACTCAACATCTCATCATCATCATCATCATTATCATCACCAGCTTTATCCGGAAGTGACGAGGGATCAAGAGTCACGCGTATCTAATTTTTTTTTTTTCTATTTCCTATCTGCCACCCCAATGAATATGGACAATAGTCAAAAGAGGTCATATGATAAGGCTCGTTCTCCAGGTTCTTAGGAAAAAAATTATTACCTCAGCAAGTTACACACATCTACCTTCCAACATCACCACTTTGCCATGAGTATTTTCAAGCCAGCAATTGCATTGTTCCCGAGCAAATATTAGCAGCTGCGTGTGTGGGCGATATTTGTGAAAGAAATGCCGACAGAAAAGGGACGCCTTGGTCACAATACTTCAGGCATTATGAAAATGAACACTCAAGAATTTTTTATTTATTTATTTTTTTTTTTCACCACTCGGTTTTCAGGTCTGGCGTTGCCTCGCATCTTTCAAATTTACGCCCAGAATTTCCGGTATCGAGTGGGTATTTATTGTACAGAGAAATTCGGTGAAGTCGTTCAGAGACTAGTGATTTTACTATTTCATCGAGCCTCGAGATTTTCATCGATATTTTCAGGATTAATCGATTATTACAACCGGTAAAAATACTCGGTACTCCCGGAATATTTAATCACGAAATACTTACAATTGGAATTATAAACCCCTGAATTATTATTTATTCATTTTTCGTATGATTGTATTGTAATTTTCCCGAGAACAATAATTGATAACTAAAAATTGAGTGATAAAGTTTAAAGTTTTTAACCGATATCTCATAATCGAAGGAATATACAACATTTTTTGCAGAAACTTTTTTTATAGTAAAAGATGAGAGGTACAAAAAAGATATCTAGGAAAATATCGGTATCCTCCTTCAACTCGGAGAAAATTGTCCAATTTTCTGTACTCGATACGATAAATACTGAGGAGGGGAGGTTTAGCGATAACGCGTAATCGTTATATCGAGTACATATAGCATTAGCGACGCTAGGAAAAGACACGCGATATCGCGACCCGTATCGTTACATCGTCGATTACTGACCTCGGAAATAAATAATACTTACAATTGTTAGCGGTGGACAGAAAAAAAAACATGAAAGGTTCGGAAGAAAAATGACAACTTCGATATTTTTCAATTACCAGTGCTCCAGTGGGGGGTAAATTTATTACTCAATGTACCCTCGAGAGATTACATCGATGAGAGACAGGAATTAACTTTTTTTATCACTCAAATCACAAATTACAACTCTCCATTAATAATTTTCACGGTTCAATTTTCAGGATTTTACCGAATTCCGTAAAAAAATCGCGAGATTATCGTGAGTACTAAAAAACTCATGAAATTCGATGCCGAGAATTTTTTATAAGAAAACTCATCGACTCTTATCCATTCAAATGAGTGGAGAAGTTGTAAAATTCTATACGTCGAATTTAACAGCTCTGATAAATATCGATTGAGTTAAAAAACACTTGAGTTTAGGGAATGACATCGGAATGTCCTAAAAATATTAAATAATAATATTAATAAATAATATTTAATTAACCCGATGATTTCCAAGATGTGAAGTAATTTCTCAAAAAAATCCGCAATAATGAACTCGTGGATTAATTCGTAATAATTAATTAAATCAACAAACATCAAGCATTAATCGAAAATCACCCTCGAAAAAAAAAAAATATTAAATTGGATTACTCTCACTTTATCGGACTAGTTGACTCCTGAATTTCATCACTGGACTTTCATGTGGGTGACAAATTGGTATTGAAATTGGAGTTCATGATTATATTCATTCCCCCAACTATCCTGAACATTATGATTCCTCATGGCTGTGCAAAAAGACTGAAAAATAACGAACGTGGAACATTAGTAGCTGATTAAGAGGTCTGGCCAACGCATTCTGAAGTGTATCGCTTAGTCTTACTCGGAAAAACTTAGTCAGCAAATTGTATGCGATAAGATTCTGTCCCGTTATCCACCTCGACTCATTAAAAACTCCCCTAAATGCCAATTGCACCCTCTAATCGGTGATAATAAAATGGAACAGACTGACAGGTGGAGAAAAGCGATATTATTTCTGATAGAGCGGTCGTTCTTGATCTTTGCACTAGAACCGCCGGATATAATTTACCCAGAAAAATGAACAGATCAGAAAAACTGAGGGAACGAATGGAGCAAAAACGAATTAATAGCGATACCCATAAACCTCATTGCTTCACCCTCCACCTCATTTTCCCTCATCACGTGTTCAAATTTATTTACCTAATCGTGTGTCCCACTAAACTGTCGTCCTCGATGCACGTGCCAGTGAGAATTATGTACTTGCCTGGCATACGTTAATTGTCCATGCATTCAACCATTACATAATCCACGTTATCGCTAATAACCCACGCAAAAATTTGGTACCACCTCTCCATTCCACCCCTTTGCATCCTCTCCCAGTGAACCAAGCTCAAATAAACTGTTGCACTGAATTTTATTCGAAAGGAAATAAATTAAATGCAGGAACTGCATTTTTCATGAATTTTTTTGGTGATGAATTCAGGAAATTCAGTTGTTCGGAAATTTTAGTGGAGCTGTCACTTAAAGTCGATATTACACTGCATTTAAGTAGAAAGTGAAAAATGCAAGACCGAGAATTTCTCGGAAGATTCACTTTTAAATTCTTCTGGAATTTCAAAGAGATTTGTCTCTCAATTTTTCTCATTTTTATGAATTTTTGGTATGATTCATAAAAACGTTTCGATTCCGCTGGATTCTTCGTGCAATAACTCAAGTTTTAAAAACAGAAACCCCCAAAAAATGTCAGTGAATCCCTCGAAAATCTCGAATATTCTTCAAAAAATTGTTATCCAACACTGAGCAACAAGTTGATCATCTCAGAATGATTCAAAAAAGGCAAAAAAAAATCACAATAAACACAATATCCCGTCGTCAGTTGGTCGTTGGTTGTCGAGGAATGGCGCGCTTACGTAACCGGAAAAAATTGTATAACAATAACGGAACTGACAATGAATAAAAAAAAACGAAAAAAAAAAAATACAGAATGAAGATAAATAACAAAAAATGGGGGCAAATGAGGATTGTGTAATGGCCGAGGACAGGGACCTGGACAGGAATATTTAGGACACTAGTATTTGACTTAACTTGAGAAACGAGAAAACCGAAACTTTCTATCGCACTTCTCAAACACGGGTTTACCCCACGTGAAAGCCCCGAAGAAGATTTAACCCAATGACGACAGGTTAGTACGACAAGTTCGAAGTACAAGGATCAGCTTAATTGCATTCTGATAGTACATTACGATATAACTGATGCATAAGTATTAGACGTTCCTGAGGCCGGGCAGATGCAAATTGCCGGTATTTTTTTTTTTCCACTGCATATCTTTTTCTTCAAATGATTTTTTTTCCCCGGTTTCGTTATTTTTCCTCTGGCCTAGAGAGGGGAGCTAGTCTGTGTCCTCGATGTTTAGATATGTCGACGTGTCGTTAGTCGCTCAAGATAAAGCTACACTGCAACGATGCACTTTTTTCCGCTGTTATCATTTTCAAAACGTTATAAATGAGTTTAACAATAAAAAAAAAAAATAGCGATACGCACGAGTCGAGCGTTGATGTAAGTGCAGATAATCAAACTCATGATTAATTTAAAAAAATACCAGAAAAATTCGGTATAACTGACTAAATGGAGGGAACACGTTGCTCTTGTTGAATATTATTTCTCATTACACTGAGTTCGATGGTAAATCAATGGAAATTATGAGAAACACCCGATGAAATAGTTGATAAACAAAGACAATTGACATTGAGACTAGACCGCGTCACTTATTCAAATGTAAAGTGACACTACATTTTTCTTCCACGAATTTATCAACGCGATATTACAAATAGGTCCCGGTCAAAAGTGCAAATCATTGAGACCTGATACATGAATTTATTGTATTAGATAATTCTCAGGAATTGAAATAACAAAGGCGAGCGTCAGGGTAATCTTACCTCGGATTGTTATAACTCGTTGACACGAATGATTGTTAAAAACTTAATTGTTTAAAATGTTCAGAGTGAGGTGCACGCATGTGAACCGATGTGAACAGCTCGACTGGTGGAACACGACTGCCTCTGGCACAAGTTGTTCCAGGCGATACGGGTGGCCTCCGACTCCTCGATTCAACGCGTGCTCGTCCTCTTTACGAATAGAAAAAAAAAAAAAGTACCCAACTACCTGAGCACCTACGATTGTTACCGCCTTCCTAACATCCAGTGGGTGGTGGAAAACAACCCCGAGGGGCTGATAACCGACAACCAATTGCTCCAAGGCGCCCCTATCAAGCTCTGGAGCGCAGAGAACGAAACCCTTTACATCATTATTAAAAATATCAATTTAATCAAGATCTAATCAAGTCTCGTGAAGAAGGGGTTGGCCTCTTTTTTTTATCTATAGCAAACAGACATTTTTTGGGACTTACAATTAATCAACCATTTTTTATTGTTCATTCATTATTTCAATTATTTGACTTCACCAAAAATAACTAGTGAAAATTAGTGTTTTCATTAAATAACAATAGTCAATTTTGTGTAATCAAAATAAACAACGACACGACATGACGACTTATTAATTTTTTTTTTTATTATTCTTTCTGGAATTGGTTGGAATGATAGGGATTAGGGTAACGGAAAAATATTTATAATAATGAATTCTAGATCATTCCCAACATTTTGGGTTCTCTGGTTCAAGTGATAAAGAGCTAGGGGGAAATAATTAGTGAATTCGAAGGATGAGTAAATTTTCGGGGGATCCTATTAAAACAAACTCATGAATAATGGAATCGGGCTATGAGAGGTTTTTTTGAATCGAGCAAAAGGTGAGTGCACGTACTAGTACGTGTTAGACTGGAGAACACAATTTTTATCAGTGAGCCCTCATGGTACCATGAAGCTGCGGGTGGACAGGTGAAACTGGGGAACCCAAATGTTTCCGTGAAATAAAGAATGGAAATAAAGAAAACGTTAAAGAAATACCACCGATGCTACTAAGTATTTCACTAGGTTGACTCATCCGATCGGTTTTTTTTTTATCTTTCTAAACGCCGAAGGAAAAAATGCAACGATTAGTAAACGCACACCTATTAGCCTATTTTTCACATTGTGACGAAAGTGGGGTGGATAAGAAACGAAAATTATTGAAGAAAGGGAAGTAATTTGTTGTGATAGCGAGTTGAGCACTCGTGATGTATTGGAGCGATAACGGAAATATCGAAGAAAGAAAAAATGTTAAACTTAAAACCGTAACAATTCGTTAAGTCGGATATTGAAAAATTCACTGCACTGAAATATTTATTGGGAAATTTACATTGAGCTTTTGCTATCGTCCAACAAATTATCTTATTTAAATGATAATAATAATAATAATCGTAATTTCTATCTGTTTAATAATAATTATCCATTTGGTGGTCTTGGATTTTTATTTAATTGAATATAAAGCATTTTCCCTGGTGAAATTATAATCAATGGTTACTCATGATCAAATGAGTTATTGATTTATCAAGTGAGAAATGAAGAAAAATTATACGAATCATCTCCTATTACGAAATGATCTATCACTGGACTGGTCTCAAGGACACCAATCAGCGGATTAGTTTCCGAAGGCATTAATCGAATTAAACTCGTGCAGTAGAATGGATGAAACATTTATTCTCCCTATGAATGATAATTTTGAGAATGAGAAAACGGAAGAGGCAGTCGGACAGTTTATTACCATCAAGTTTAAGTTATTTTATTTTTTGTTAAAAAAAAATTCTGGATAATGCCTGGCTCGACCTGGCCGATCCTTTGTTGACCCAAGATACGATACAACTGGCATCTTTATCCTGGTATTTCTAGGCATGTAAACAATTTTCGTTTTCAAAATATTATGAGGATAAAATTGTTCCCACTCCACGGTGAAAAAATTCAAATGATAATTCTCAGGCGACTAGAAATAAAGCGCTAAACAATTTCTAGTAATAATTTCTACGTGAGAAAAGTGTGAAAAATTTATTGTAAAATTTATCCGGATATTGTAACAAAATTCCTATTTGTTTAATAATATGTTTGAAAAAATTTGCCGCGATAAAATTCCACAACATATTATTGTTTTTACGAATTGTTATTACATTATGTTTACGAATTTACGATGAATTTCGTTGTCCTGGATTTTGTTTAAAATAATTTTTTTCGTGAGTGGTTTGCGAGGACATACGACTTGGCGTTGTAAGGATTTTAATTATGTACGGGTTTCCCGCCGAGGTCCCCTAGTCGATAACAATTGACCGCAGTCCCCTGGGTAATTATAACAGCCATTATCAATTTCATGGTGAATTGGAGTTATCGATGATTAATAACTGGTTATACGATAGCAGAGTGGAAACGAGTCGTTCAAAATACTGAATTTTCTATGAAAATTCTACGCGACGATATCCCAATTTTCAACCAACAAATAATTTATTCGTAAATGAAAAAAAGTCTAGAATTAACATAAAGAAAATATTCTTCAATTAACATTCCAAAATTATGCATTCAACGACACAAAAAAAAATTCCGAAGTAAAATACTCCGGACAGCGGAATATTTTTTCAATGCACATTGACTTCCGCTGTTTTGTCCCTCAAACTCAATAGACATTTTAATTTCTCATTTATCTGACTGTTTCATTCAATATGTATGATGTTTAAAGATCACGACGTTATAAAAAAAATTTAAAATTACCGAAATTCTCATGAATATTTAACGATTTACATAAAAATGAAAATCTTCAGAATAAATCGATCACCGATAAAGCACCGGTAAATTACAGTAAAAAACGTTAATTTCACAATTATTTAATGCCCTATATCGATCTGTAAATCATTTGCAATGACTTACCGATTCACGTGCATAAGAATTAGTCTCAACCGCATTTTTCTTCAGCTCGCAATTCTGCCGACGGAGGAGTGCAATCTGAAACAAGATAAATATCCAAATATTTATTATTCAATCACTCCGCTATTTCAAACTGGAAATAATTGTTCATCGACCGAAAAAATCCGAGATTAGATGAATTTCCATATAAATGATAATAAAATTCGTTCACTCCCAACAATAAATCGTATCACATAAGTATCTCATCCCCTAGAATCAATTAATAATCTCGAAAAAAGGCTGGACGAATGGGAATTTACTTTCAAAAATTCTCAGTACTACGAAGGAAAAGATTCTCATGAAATCCAAGCTCAAAAAGATTTACCTAAACATCCCGGAATTGATCATAAAAATGTCGACCAATGCAAGATATCAGAAGTAATTCCACGAATAAAATGAAAAAATTCCATTCAATATTTGATTTCACTTGGAAATCGTGAAAATTTCTCAGAAGATGTAAATAATGAATGTGCGCCGAATTGCTGGAAAACTAAGGGTACACCCAGGTAATATTCACACAAAAAAAAAACCTACTAGACGATAGCAGGAGCATTAAACTGGTAACCACAATCAGAGAGGAAGTCCGGTGGTTCGCCAAGAGGGGCAGGAAAGGTGCACACACGATGCCTCGTCTCTGTTTGCCAGTTTTATCTCACGTTTGTACTGCGATAAAACATTTTAGCCTCTTCGAAACTACTTCCCTCTCCTCTTCCCCTTGGAGAGGATTTTTTTTACGATCCCAGGGACTCGGAGGCATTTGTGGATAAAACGAAACCGTACCAAACGTTTATTTCGAGTAAGATTGAGAAACGGATGGAGAGTGTATGCTGTCACTTTGAATATGATGATCAAGCACTTTGACGTACTCGGATTACGAACCAGTGTGAGACAGAGCATCACTTGCAGACTGGCCTTATCAATTTTCTAGAATTTTCTTTTTGAATCTCATGATTGACGTATTGCTCGTTTTAGGTGCTGGTTTTTCTTCATTTTAGAACAATAATGGTGTGGGATCCAATGAATCAGCAGATAAGGATGTTTGATTAACACTCGGTGGAGATTATTAGGGAAACCAAGCATCTGTTCGGATTTTTAACGGATAGTGTTATCGGCGTGCTTTATCGGAGCATATGGGGATTGAGTGCCATCCAACCATCTTGCGAATCCTTCGGGATAAATTTATATTTACAAAGGATACATCTATTTTTGAATGAGGAATCTTTTGATTTTGGATGAAATATTATTTATTGGGAATTTATCTCAGAAATTTTCACCGGTCTAAATGTTTTTATTAAAGTTCGTTGATGGTTTTTTAGTTCCTTCAACAATGAGAGAGAGAGAGTTCAATGAATATTTTTTCGTGAGAGATCACTTTTATGACGACATGTTTTCGTTCTCATTCTGCTCTACAAGAATTCCGTTATCTTCATTCAACGGTGTTTTTCAAAAACTGGATTTCAAGGGAAGTTGAGTCATCCCAGTCAGTCACTTCTCTACTGAATCATTCAACCCGTCTCACTTAAAAAAACTGTATCAACTCCGAAAAGTAGGACTCGCCGAATATTTGTTCCTTCAGAATCAATAATCACTCATTTACACAACTGAATTGAAAAAAAAAATGTGTACCTCGGCGTCTCTGGAGTTGAGTAATTCCTGCAGCTGTACACATCTGCGATTGGTCTCCTCGAGCTGCTTGTCTCGATCATCTGAACCAGAAAGATGGGAAGAGTAATAGAAAATCTTGCAAGACAACAGTACAATGAGGAAACTTCAATTAATTTCTAAAAATTAAAACACAAATTCTGGATAATTATTCTCAAATAGAATTACTACAATCACCAATTTTATTAACAATTCAACTTCAGAGAGAAATCTGCAAGTCTCTGAAAAACAATTATCTAAACTAGATTTCCAAACAAAATAAACTAGTTAATTAGGATTTTCCACAAAAATTTCATTAACGTAAGAATTCCTGTAGAAACACATTTTTTAATAAAAAAAAATTGTTAATCGGCCATATACTAGTGAATGTTGGCCTATGTCTCTTAAAACGGAAGAACATGTTGAAGACATTAATCCAGGCAATAAAATAACTATTAAAGCGGAAAATGTGGACTACCCAAAGATTTGAAGTTTTGAAAATTGAAATTCGAATGTGTTTACCGCGTTGCTTACGCAGGCACTCGGTCGATAAAGCAGATTTATGTTTTGACAGTAGCTCTCATGACTTTTCTCTCCTAACCCCATGGATTCCCATAAAAATTTGCCAAACGTAGAATAAACTTACCAAGTTCCTCGACAATTCCTTCGGACAGTACCTCCTTCGTGAAATTAGTGATCTGTCCCTTTAAATTGGATAGACTAGAGAGACCATCACCGAACCACGCCATTTTACACGTCGACAGTTAAATATCACTCGTATTTCACTCACAAAATGTAATTAACAAGAGTCCAAATCAACACAGATTGTTTCATACGTCTATGAAACAATTGTCATGAACACTTGTAATTTGCAAATAACGAATTAGGGTCCGGTTGGAGGGTTGTTTTTTTCTGCGAGTGGCAACTGGAAATTTTTCGCCCTCTCACTTTACGGTAGAAAAAGAAAGCTCAATTCTTCCGTCATTCATGTCGATAATTCCGGGAATGACTGCAGCCAGGGGGTCATATAAAAGTGGCGCTGGGAGATAAAGAGGATTGACTGAAGGAAAGGCTCATTTGATACTTTTATAAAAATTTCGAATTTTTAAATTTCAGTGAATACCTCCTCGATTTTCATGCTCCCCTGATACTTTTATAAAAATTTCGAATTTT